AGTAGTAGTAGCAGCAGCAGCCATCAATCAGCGTGGCTCAGCATGGGTTTGTCAAACTTCGCACTGCAGGTAGGATATGATAGAATATGGTAGACTCTACAGCTTGAGAGCCAAGAGGTTTTTCTAGCAACACATGAAAGTTCAAATGATGCTCCCAGATGCTCCCAGATGGCCTGCATTGAGAAATTGAAAATTGTCGTTTGTGTGCAAACTGAAGCGTCAGCAACACTACCACCGAGGCTGCAACAGCACAGAGAACTGTCCATTGGTGGTCCGGAACGCCCGACCTTTTCAAAGCAGCTTGACAGAAACAACTTACGTGTTGCAACAAGCTCTCAGTGAACTGAGCAGGTGGCTCACTCGCTTTCCAGTTCGGAAACCCAGCCTGCCAGGCACCCCACAATCAGGCACCCAGTTGGAGGTTCACACGCCGACATGGTGCCTCAGCAGGCAAGGACCTATCGCTGAGAAACCTCTTTGTCTGCCCAGCTTCATCAGGCACCTGCCCGCTTTGGAAGTTTGTTACTGGACAACTCCCCAGAGAGAGGGCGGAGCCTGAAATGCAGCCTTGGTGGATGTCAGCACGCCTTAGAGGGAGAAATTGGATTTCCTTAACGTATCTAACTTAGATAATCCAAGCGTCATCCCGATCTGGCAATCACAACATGGTCGTGCAAAATGCTGCAAACGTGACAAAACGACGACTGTGCTGCTGATATTTGCCAAGAAGGGGAAGGGTAGCACAATAATGTGCAAATGCACAGGCCCACAGATTGAAAGAACCGCTTAGATAGCGCGCAGTGTGAGCGGGGCATTTGTGTCATGCGCATGATTTCTGCACATGCGGCAGCCTTGCTGCTTTCAAATCTACAGTGACATGTTTCACCCTAAGCCCTTCCCAAACCTTGTCAACAACCGAAGAAACTTTGAACTTTCAGACTTGCAGAAGCCGGCAGATTTAGAAGCACGGTATTCGTCCACGTGCTAGCAATCTCACTCATATCTTGTGTAGCGAGGACAGCCACTAAACACCCCTCAACCAGGGGCGTTGGACTACACATGAGTTGTTGCACGTAGGCAAAACTTTGCGAAGTGCTCTCATGTCGGCAAATCCTAACCTTCGACATGTCATGTTGGCTACTTGTCCTTTTGCTGGCAGGTCGTCCTTTGGCACGTTGCGAAGACATTGCTTTTCCATGAAGTTCTTATTTCTTGAGACGTGGGTTGGTAACTTGTTATCCATGCTGCACCGTGCAGGTGACCGTTCTGCCATGTTGGCGAATGTTGGCAATGTTGATTTCCATCTCGTGCGATCTTCTGTTGTTTGCCAGCGGGTTCTATTTCAGCGAAAGGGTTCTTTGTCTAAGGGCTGCGGATCTGCAGGTCCAGGGCTAATACTCAACCAGCGGCAAGCTTCTACATGTGTTGCGACCCTGGGTGTCGCCGCGCGATGCCCTGCCTTGAAATTTGTCACACGTCGCGCATCCTCTCGTTCCAAGAGCTTGAACGGGTTGAGTCGCTGTTGGACCCTTGGATGCTCCTTTGCTTGGACGGGCGATCCTGGGAGGCATGGGAGGAATCAGGAAGGGAGTCAAAGACCATGATTTTGCTTTCTTGTTGGCCAAGCATGCTCTGCTAGACTTTGGGCCTCTTTCGCTAGCAGCTCTGCTCTCTCATCTTTCAGTCAAGGAACGTGTCCACGGCATCGAACATCGTTTTCGAGAGCTTCTTGCTT